GTAAACCATCGTATGCTAATGCAGTGCTGAAGTGGTCTGCAGTAAAGAGTAATGCAAGCAACAAAACATGGTTCAGCTTGGCTTATTAGTATATTAAAAAAACTGGCAGTAAAGAAAGCAGAAATTTGCTATGCCCATGGGAGGGAGAGAAGGGAAGGAATCTTTGTAACTGCATGTCTCTGCTAGTAAAATTATAGAGGTGCTGTTATTAATTGCTTCTATTCACCATGTATCTTCAGCTCTCCAAGCTTGTTCAAACGGCTCTGCAGAACAGGGACCCTGCTTTGGGAGCAGGGAGCATGTGCAGGACCTTGTACAACAAGGAAGTGGCCCCACAAGAGGTGCTGCACTGGGATGTGCAGTTTGCTTAGCTCGTAATACATAACAAGACTTCCTTATCAGTCCTGAGAGTCCTGCATCCTGGGTGTGAGCATGTGCGATGGCAACCTCCGTTTCCACAGGGAAGACTGTAGCAACCTCTTCTGTGTGGGACTGTCCTTTCAACACACCCTGTAGCCCGCCTATCAGGGCATCGGGGAGGCCAAAGAACCTGATGATGGGTGAAGCTGTTGGCATAAAGTTAACGGGGCAGCTTCCTATCCCCAGAAGAAAAGCCAAAGAGCAGAAGGTTAGAGAGAAGAAAGCAAAACCCCATTCACCCTACCCAGCTCAGAAAAGCATTAGCATCACAATGCTTTTCTTGGCACCAGGACAGTGAGAGCCAAGAAGGCAAGCCCAGCACTACCACAGCTACTGAGCTAAAGGGCAGGTACAGAACAAAGCAAAGCTTGAGCAAAGATTTGGATGGGCTCTGCTTGCTTTCAGGGATGTGAGATAGTATTCCTAAGAAGAAGAGCGGAGCTTAGCACCCCATAGAGAAGACAGATAGATTTCTTTCTTACTTAAAAAGAAAAACTTTATTTTGATACATTAAAAAATCTATACATTTCTTAGACTAAAATACAGTTTTGCATCAGTATCCTGGCACAATGTCAGTTTACACAGAAAATCTAAGATTAGATCAGCACTGTTAATTTCCCTTCTCTTCCTGCGTTCACAGCTTGCAGTAGAAAACATTTCAAGTTCTCAAGACAACAATAAACAGTGTCACATTTACTTTTCCCATCCAGAAAGGAGGTGGCATTCCACTGGAAAAAGGAGCACTTGTTAGTTTATCTTGATTCAGTGTAAATCACTAAGCCAGTCCAGGGGTTTGATTGCCCTGTTAGAAGTATGAGGCAAAGAGGATGAAAGATTTGTTTCCAGATGAAGATTTGTTTCCAGATGGACTATGACAATGCAAGTACTGTCAAGCCTTTAAAATCTGTTCAGAAGATTTTCCTTTTTCCTTAGGGTAGTTGCTATTATCAGCAACACAATCCACTGTATCAAAATAATTCCTTTCTGTAGGCATAGGATTCCACCTTCTTTCTTGCTCTGAAGAGCTCCAGAGCAAAACAAAAGCAGGGCAGAGGGGATGTTGCTGTGAGATGTCTGTGAACTGGAATGTGAATTTTCTTAACTACTGATAAAACCCTGCAGAATATTTTCTACCTGTGAAATCGTGCTCTCCACCTAACCTCCAACAGCTGCTTTCTGGCCTACATTAGAAACAAAGCAACCTGTTTTCTCCTCCCTCACTCCCCTAGGAAACACTATGACATTGTCTGTGGCACTGTTTTTCTAATGAGGTATATTCTCCCTTTTAAGTCTGAGCAGGGCAGGACCCTACCAATACTAACGCTGGAGCATACGCAGTATTTATTTGAGAGTTAAAAGTTATGACTTCCATGGGAACTCCAGTCAGCGCTCAACTTCTCCTGAGTTTCAGAAGTAATCAACTTCCTAATCTCACAAAGACTTTCTGAAATACTCCCTAGCTGCCCCTATTTCACTCAAGCCAGAGGGGAGCGGTGGTGTGTTTGAGAAATGGTAGCCACCTATGCTGCCTATCTATCTTCCATCACATACTTAGAGAGGCCAGAGTTGTTTGAAATTACTGAAATTCAGCTAGTTCTGCTCAAGTCAGCTGGTACTTTTGCTATGAATTCTTGCAACTTTGGTTCTAAGGGGAGTCCCATGTTTCTACAGAAAAGTACCAAATGCTTAAAACACCAAATTCTGCTCATCATATTCCCACATGATGACTTGACCTCAGTGAGACAGGGGAGTAGAATCTGATGGTGTTTTCTGGTTTTCTGCTAGTCCTGTTTTAACAATGTCAAATGAACGCCAGATAGTTTAGCCTCCAAATGGGTATTTTTAGATTAATTCATGCTACCTATTGTCCCTAGAAATATTCTGAAAATTCTAATGTCTCTGAAGAGCTTTGGCTTGACTGGATCAGCTTGCAAACACTGCAAGACACATCACAGCTCCATCCCAGACCAGAAATTCTGCCTTTTATACATGACCCATATCACATGAGACAAGTTTCATCTCTTCTCTCATCTCTCTAAATATAAAAGAAAAAAAATACCTTGAGAACAGTATTTGCTACAGAACACAAGAAATACAAATTACTAGTCTCCATAATCTCTTGTTATGTGATGGAAATAACAACAGAGATGAAATAGTTGAAAGAGCATTTATAAATTAACTATTTAGAGTAAACTTCCATCATCTCAATGAACAAGCTGAGTGCAAGAAACGCTTCATATAAGTTTGTTGGGTTTTTGGGAAACACGAGGGTTTTTTTTTCCACAACGATGAAATAGGATTGCGGTGGTGATAATATGACACACAAGCTGTTCAAGAAACAATGGACCGGTGATGTTCAGATTTAGTAAACAGTATCTGCACAGGCAAAGCCATGGTTTAAAAAACAGGGATGCTGTTAGGTATCTACTTTAAAATCTTAAGAGTGTTTCTTAAAATGACTGTGCCATGTTCAACACAGCATGTGGATGGTGATGATGAGTATATGTCTGCTACATGCATTTATTCTGACTCTATAACATACATTCATAGAACACATAGTAACCACTGAGAGCAAACCACTAAAGTGCATGCCCCAAGGGCACATTAAGTAATGTTGTCTCCAACACTGGCTGCTCAGTTGCCAGAACACTGATACAGAAAGGGCTCATTTTTGCTTTATATCCCCATTTTGTGCTGAAAGAGTAAGAGCTAGCATCCCCTGCTCCCTCCACGAAAGGGAGCACTGTGAAGCAGGCTAATTGCCTGCTGCAAAAAAAGCCCTTTCAGAAAGAAGTAACCACCCTGAGAAGGTGCTGTACAGAAACGCAGGGAGCAAGTCCTGGCTTAACTCTTGGGTAAGTGGACCTGTGTACTGGGTTAGGCTGGGATGGAGTTAATTTTTTTCACAGCAGCCTGTGTGGAGCTGTGTTTTAGATTTGTGACCAAAAGTGTTGATAACACAATGTTTTACCTGTTGCTGAGCAGTGCTTGCACAGGGTCAAGGCCTTCTCTGTTTTATTACTCTGCCACCCCAGCAGAGTAGGCTGGAGTTGGGCAAGAGGGTGGGAGGGCACCAGGGCAGCTAACCTGAACAGACTGAATATTCCATACCATATAATGTCATACTTAGCAGTAAAACTGGAGTGTGGGTGTGGTTCCAAAGTAGCTGTTGCTTAGAGATTGGCTGTGCATTGGTCTGCTAATGGGAAGAGGTGAGCGACTGCGTTTGCATCACTTTTTTTTTTTTCCCCTTGACTTAATGAACTGTCTTTATCTTGACGCTTTTGTCCTTCCAATGCTCTCTCCCATCCTGCTGAGGGGAGTGAGCAAGCAACAGAGTAGGGGCTTACCTGTCAGCCAGGGTCAACCCACCAGAGTGTGTAACTGGGCTTTCTACTTTAAGTTCTCCCTTCTAGGACATGCTCTCCTAATGCAGAAAGTCCTTGGGTTACCATGCCAAGTTAAGACCACATGTAAAACCCCATCCTGTTTTTGGCAGCTGGGAACATGAACACAAGCTACTGGAAGGGTGAAGATGCAATTCTAAGCTGGCCATACCATGTTTAGTCTAGCTGTGGAGCAGCATTGAAACTGTAGAAGTGATGGGCTGCACTCCTAACCACACCAATCACAGTGGAGTGGTATCACACATGCAAAAAAAAGTCTCCTCAGTACTTCAGATCAGCACCTATTCCTCATCCCATTCAGTTTAGGTGATATCCTGAATCATTGCCCTAGGAACGTGAGGGGGCATGTGCTAAAATCAGTGGGACAAAGGGGATCTGCCACTGCCACATGGCATTCTTTTGCTGAAAAAGCAATACAGAAACGAGAGCTAAAAGAACAAAAAAAATTCTCAAGGGCTGAAAAAAGCAATAAAGATGACTCATAGCTGCTCAACTTCCAAATAAAACAGAGCAAAATAATGTGGAAAAAAATTAAACAATTTAAAGAATGTCATGCTTTTTTTGCTTTGAAACCTATCTGATCAGAGGCCATGATGTGGACTGTCTGGGTGTGTATACTGGGACTCAGTAATCCCACTGGTTTAGTTTTTAAACTCAAATTGTCCAGCTTGAATCTCCAGTCCTCAAGTACTACTTGGTTCAATGGACTTTCCAAGGAGATGATTTCTATCTCACCTGTCTCATCTGCTTCTGCAGTTTTATTCCCAGTGCAGCATCACTCTAGTTAGTTTAGACTGCTTCCCACTAAGGAGTCAATATATTGAGTTTAATAACCAACTGGCAAAAAAAATATTTAATCCATCACAACTGGCAGACCCCAGCACCTCTATTTCCAACCAGGGATTTACATGTCAGGTGTTCGCCCACTCCACTATACCCACTAGGGAAGGAAAGCGAAGTCTAAATTTGTCCTGAAAAGTTGTCTGTTCAGACGTCAGTCTTCTGCTTATCTCCTTGCACAAGACAGAACTGGAAGAGGTCAGCTTGTAGTTTGGTTGCAAATGAACTTCAAAGGACATTCAAAAGTTTTAAATGGCCACTGGAAAGCCTGCGTGTGGATGGAATGCCTTTTTGGCATGTCTAAAAGCTCTGCATGCCGGATATACACTCGAGAATGGTGCACACAATTTTATTAAGAACTTTGTAATGATATAGGTTTGTCACTTAAACATTACAACTACCCATAAAAAAGTGTTGCCTGTATCTTTTCAACACCATGTAAATAAAACAATTTTTTTTTTTTTTAAAACGGGATAAACTGCTATAAAAATGGTGCACAGTCAAGTCATACAAAAATACAAAACTCGTTTCCAACTGCAGTCCTAGTTGCAATAACAGAGAAAAGGCCCCACCCAGGACTTCCGGCGAGCAGAGAACACAAACAGGTGGAACTGGTCATGGCAGGTATTTGTTGTCAAAATGAGCAGAATCCAAGCACTTTCAATCAAAGCACCTCCACAGTAACTTCCAAACAAGACAGAAATTAGTTTCTCTGGAAGCAACTGGGTACACGGTAAGTCTCTTAGTCTTGGAATCCAGTTTCTAGGATTTGTCTAAGCCAGTTTTTGAATTTCTGTGGCTAAGCCCCACTGATGTACACAATTATCAGCGTTCAGTGCCACTGCTGTCTTAGCCACTGGTACAGCAGGAATGCCTCCTCTCCACAAACTTAAGGCTACTCCAGTGCTTCTTCTCAATAGTCTGACCTCTTATACTTGCACTCAGAGGCCTCACCAGTGCTCCAGTTTGAATCCCTAGGTTGAAGCTCTAGTCCAGTTAGCATTCACATGGATGTGTAACTGTCCTCCTGATGTCAGTGGAGCTACCGATATGGTTCATTTAAATGAGTGTCTAAGTGCCTGCAGGATCAGATAATTCTGTCTCCCTGCCTCCCCAGCAGCTGTAATTTCTAAATGTATTTTTATTTTCATACCTTTCATATAGTTTGGGTTCTGTGATATGAAGAGTAAATCCTTTTAATTAGCTTACCGAAAGAAAACTAAACAAATTTAAGTTACCAAATGACTTCTAGAAGCAGAAGTGAAATAATTCACTATTGCCAAAAGGTAAGAGCAGTGGTTAGCTACATGACTACATATTTTTTTAAACCTTCGGCAGCAATTTAAGTCTGATCATCTGAAAGGAAGCACAGATAACTGCTTACTTATTAAACTTTGATAACACGACTCGTGCATGTCTCTACTTAGACATGCCTCTCCACTCCATCACAAAGCTTCTGTAGAAGGGCTTTTCATTTTCAAAAGGTTTTCTTGAATGGAGTGATCGAACCATTGAGGCATTATGTATTTGTACAGAGCTTGTATTTAGTGCAATAAGTTTAAAAATTCTGCTCTGAAATATTAACAAAAATAGTTTTCTTAAAAAAATTGTAACAAAAGGAGTATATAGCATAGACAGATTATGAATTCTTAGCAAATACACTTTTAAGCGTTTACCATTACAATATGCTGAACAATTCAATATTAGCATTCATATCTGGTGAGCTTTCAGACTGAAAAGAAATGTAAGTATCTAATAATAATAAAAAAGCACATTTTCTTGTCATTATTTGATAACTTTAGATAATTATCCTGGCAGTGACACTTCCAAAGAAATGTTTCTCTGCCCTTTCCTGTTTTAGCCACCCACTACAGTACATACAAATATGGATGAAACGGCAGGTAAGGTATGGTCCCTTTCACATCCTTTTTTGTACCTTTTTGTACAGTAGCACAGTTCATTTCTCTTCCCACCCTCAGCATCTTTATATCTAGTCATGAATTAATCATGAGTATGGCTAAGACTGAGCTTTAACAATCTGTTACTTCAGTTGCTCATACAGAGAATCCATACCCTTCAAAGGAACGCTGCTGAAGTGTGAAGGAGGCTACTGAACTCAAGGGGAGGATAGAGGGCAATGGGTATGAGGGCTAAGCAGGGTAAAACAGGAAGTTAATTGCATATAAAAATTACTTGTCCCCATTTTGTAGTTTATGTTTAATAGGAGATGCAAGGGCTCCCACACACCTGAATACCTGAGGAGTTGGTTATTGTGATATCTGATACTGATAAACAAAACTGTGCCCCACCGGGGCTGTAAAGTAAAATGACTGCTTACAAACCCTTTCGAACTGAACAAACTCTCACTGAAACCATCTTTTGAAAAACTAAATCTAAGACTTTTCTTGATTTGAAGGCTTTCCTTACATATAACTGTCCTGAATTTAACGCAAATTTAAACAAATTAAACAAGTAAAACTCTCAGCAGATTAGCAGTGTCATGGGAAATCTGTCTCTAAACCCAGTCATCATTTCTGATTATCTTTACAATGATACCTCCTCCAGATTGTAAAATATCAAGCAGATAAGAATCAACATTTCCATGACCACAATGAATAATTGAAAAAATGAAACAATGATAAAGCTGCTTGTAAAAGCCACCCGTATGAAAAGAGTACATGTTTCACAAAAATAATTGTTAAAAAAAGTATTAAATCCCTGTTCCTTTTCTCTGATTTTGGCTGTTTATTTATATATATATATATATATGTATGTATATATATGTATATATATACTGTTTTGGAATGTCAATGGGTTCCAATATGGCTGGCTAGTTTCAAGATGAACTTGCTCCAGAGGCCTAGAAAACAAAGTCATACAGTACAGTCTTAGACAAATGCCAAAGGACAAGGAGAAATTGAGTCAAAGGGGTCACTGGAAACCATAAAGAAGTGTGAAAAGTTCTTTTTTTTCCTGTGTCCTGATACAAGAACAGAAGGTCCTAAATGTTTCCTTATCTCTGCTATTACTACCTATTTAAAATACAACTGCACATAGGGCATTGCACTTTTAGAACAAATCGTCATGTCTAATATATTTGCATTTCAAGGAGACTGAAGCAAAACAGCAAAGACTAGTTTTAGAAAAGAACTAAAAAAAAAAATTAATCTAATTTTCAGACACCGAATTTTGGGAATATAGGTGCTACTAGTACAGAATAGACTTATGAATGATCCTATCTGAGATGTAATTGAGACCTTTATCAATGCTTTGGGGAAAGGTATCAGAAATGGAGGTAACTGCTATGTCCTGTCATTGTCAGGAAGTAAGATCCTAGTATTTCAGAATCTATTAAACTGGAGCTGAACACTCAAAAATAGAAGACCATTTGAGAGAACAAGGCCCAATCAGTTCCAAACAAGACAATCACATGAGCAGCAGAACTGGGAGTAATTCAGCAGGTGACACTCCGGCTGAGCCCCAAGTGCTCAGCATCTTCTCTAGCAGTCCTAGGAGGACTTTCAGCCAGTGCCAGGCTCAAGCACCTAGAGTCAAGTTTCTAAAAGAACAAGACCACCATTGACTTGCACATACTTGATTTGTCCTTTTACAAGGTGGGGGTAAATAAAGGTTTTCACACCCAAGCTTTAGGCAGTCGAGTACAAAAGTGTAAGTAGTGGTATGTGCTAGCACTGACCGGAGTGTAAGTGGAAAATCACTTAAGGTAATCCAGTTGTTTGAATTAGAGGTTAACATGAGATTTTTTTGTGCATGTGACTAGAAGGTTTGCACACCCAATTCTCAATCATTTTAACAGCAGCTTTACCCCTACAGCATTTAGACCAGTCTGAAAATCCCAACATTAGTGTCCGTTTGAACAGCCAGAATTACTCCCAGAAGAAAACAGTAAATAAGCATAGAATTAGTTTTTTTTTAGATGTACAAACACAGCAGCATTTAGGTATAAGCAAAACTAGAAACTGGTATGCTATAATGAAATAGCTAAACACAGAAAGCTACACATCTACACACTCTATAGCAGGAACCCATTCCAGCTCAGTCAAAAAGTGCTCATGCAACATGGCTTCACATACATCATTGAAAAAAAAAAACTTCTACCATTAGCATACAGTTATTTAGATCCTATTAGGTTAAAAAATTGTCCCCATGGCAGGGAACTAAATCAGGTGCCAGATACTCTGAGAAAGTAACGATGGAAAAATATTTTATTTCACGAAGTCATATTGCACGATGACAAGTCATACCTTGCCCAGCCTGTCTCGCCATCATATGCTCTCAGTTCTCCACTTTCCAAACTCATCTTCCTATCTGTTATCTGTATCATGTATAGCTGTTCCTTATTCCAGGCTACTCAGACATGCAACGCCTTCCTAACAGGCACACCATAAGTAAAACAGGCTGCAGAAGCATAAATGATGCATTGTTCACTGTCTGTGTATCTGACAGTGTGAGATGGAAAGAGCACACAAGAGACAAGCAACATAAGTAGTTGGCAATAAAAACAAACAACTGGGAGAAATGTCATTTGAGCAGGTTGAAAGGAATCACTGCATCCAATTCCTTGGCACTGTATGAAATAATTTGGTGAGAGCTTTAAATGCCTGGTCCTACTTTGCAACAGTGGATGTGCTCAGTAGTGTTCTTCAGGCTTTTATGGTGAATGTAAAATGAACAAAAATTGTTCAGCCCAGGGCTGAAAACGGGATTAAAGTCAGAATAGCCAAATGAATTCCAGAGCCATCTTATTTTGAGAGTACTCAGCAACTGGGACTTACTATGTATACCACATATCATGCACTGCTAAGCCTAATGAAATGATACTGCATTTGTTTCATATGACACCGTTCCTTTCATCTTACTTTTACAGGAGATGGTTTCAGCTGTGACAAAAACTCTGCCATCCAGGTGATAGGCAAGCTCACAAACAGAAAAAGCAGAACATCTTGAGTGATACAGAGAACAAAAATTTCTCCTGAAGAAGTGCAGTCAGTAAAGACAAAGAGGGAGAAGAAGTAAAAGTGAAACTCTTGGAGGATCGCCACATCCTCATCTGCACCTACCATTGGTTTTAGTTCTCTGCCCTCAGCTCCACCTCCTCGGCCAGCTTCTTTCATAGATTTCCTACTATTCTCCACAAACTCCTGAAAAACAATAAAGAAGTGAAAAGTGCTTTCTTAGAGCAGACTCCAAACATGGAATCCCAAGCAAAACTTCAGGATGTAACTGCTCAAAATCATAACACAACTTGCTCCTCCCACTTCTCTTGCTCAGATTTGTCCACAAAGTATTGAAAAAAGCCTGCCAAATAGCCACAAGAGTCTGTCTCATTTAATTCTGGAAGACAGACAGGTATTTGCTTTGTCTGCTGTTACAACTTTCATTTACCACATAATCTTTCCTTCATGGGGAAGGGAGGTAGAAGTGTGGTTGTCAAAAAAAAAAACAAAACCAAACCCAAAAACCCCTGAGATCCCAGTTATTACATCCTATCCTGTGAACTGTGTGTAATGTTAGAACTCCATTAAACAGATGCACTTGGAGATAACTACGTGCAAGGTCTTGTAGATTTCCCTAACTTCCCTTAATTCAAACTCTTAAATTTTTCACCAGATCACAATCACCTATTCACGAAGATTAGCAAAGGTCCTAATTCAATTTTATGTCGTTTTTTCTCTTAAAGGCAAGCATTCTGTAGCAAATTTCAGTAAACTTTAGCTGCTGTTTTTTTGTGATTTCAACTGCTGACTAAAGAAACCCACAATGCTTTTATGATTTATCTATGCTGTCTTCTGAGACAGCATTCTGCATTTTACTCTTATTATGTGCTAAAAAGCATCTCATCAGTTACTATTTTATTTATTACATACTCTAGATTTTGTAGCGTTCTACCAAAATGAACATTAAATTCTTAGCATGGTTTTCTAAGAAGTAATCAGAAAAAATAATTATGCTAAGACGTCATGAGTCTTCCTCTAGACTAGACATGGGGGTGCATTTTACAGGGACATATTCTATGATTGCCACTTAAAAATACTGTCAAGAAAATTACCTACTCAACAACACACTGAAGGGCTTGAGGAGCAGAATTTTTACATCTTGGTCTCTAGCTACAGTGAACAGGGAATAAGACGGAACAAACAAATAAGAACTGAATTGTGCGAAGGGCCTTGACATAGCATCTAGGCTCCAGGACAGAACATAAAACCTGTTGTTTCTGTGCATGACAGACTGAGTCAAATTCTGGTTGTCATCTATCTGAAAGAAGAACTGCAGCCTGTTCTCTACCTCTGTGTGGGGCAGAATACTCTGGTATTTTTTCTGTTCCATATCCCAAGGAAGGTCCTTCTTAGGAAAGTACAAAACTCAAGCCTTTACCCCTCATTTTGCTGCTTTCCATTCTGCACTGTATCATTTACAAGAAGTGATACTCAAGAGTATGATTCTGCAAGATGACTGCTCATCTAACAGCCACTCAATAGAAGCCAATACCAGTGACACCAAGGGAAGGAAGCTTCCTTACTTATCTGATGCTCATCAGATCACGGAGTTTGCCGATCAAGCCATGAACAAGACAGCAAGGTAGCCCAGGTGAAAAAAGATTACCGTATTGAACTCAGCTAGTGCCTTCATTCCACTGTCAAAATACCGATTTTATGGAACCATATCCTTAGAGAGCAAGGGGAAACTCACCATGAGAACTTTATCCATGTAGAATTCCCGCCCGGGGCTCCCATCATTGTATTTTGTATCGATGGCAAAACATAAGAAAAGGACATCAACAACCATTTCATAAATGGAAAGGAAGCAGTGAGCAACCAGGAATGCAAAGAGGCAGACAATGATGAGTGGTAGCACCCAGATGGTGTAATCTCGTTGGTAATTCAGCAACATAATCCCAGCCAAACCTGTACTGCAGACAATCAGGACCTGAAGAAGAAAACAGTAAAGAACTCTAATGCCAGAAGCCTTTTGATATTTTTCATTTGGTTTGGTTTGATTTGTTTTTTTTAACCTATGTGCTTCTTGCTCTGCCAGGGCTAGAACTACAGGTTACAGATGCTAGTGGTAATGCCATCTTTACCTCCTGGATTCCTCACATCCCCAAGTGTAAATGACATTTTATCCATTGGTCCAGCACATGTAAATCAGAAGTTTCAAACACATCCTTCAACATAAAAGGTGTTTTTCAGAGCAAATTACATTTATATCCTGCTGTCACAGTTCTAATGTTACTGAATATTCCTGTAAAAAAAAACCTTTATCCTGTCAATTATAAATCCCCAGAACTTGATGCTACCAATCAACTAATGTGCAGTTGTTTTTTTGGTTGGGGGCAAAAGGGTACGTCTGAGGAGGATGGTTATGTTTTTCATTTTGCTGGTGGAAACAACTTCCAAACTTGTCTTATCTCTGTCTCATCTCCGTACAGGGGAATGCAGATCAGAATACATGTCAAGCATTCCAGGTAACAGTCTCCACAGAACTACACTATGTGTGAGGCCCCAACAGATATTTAACTGGGTAGCAGTCTGGTGTTTGGGAGTAGCAAAAGGACTAAAACAATTGTTACGGCCACTCAATATTTTGAACATTCCCGAACCTATTATTATGAACTGCAGCTAAACATGAAATTGTAAAATATGTCTGCTTTACTGTATTATGACAATACCAGGTTGGACTGGTAGAGGAGACAGGCTGGCAGCCTAGCACTGTTTGAGCTGATACTATTTTTTATATGCTGCACTGTCCATTTTAACATTTCTGTCACCTGTGCATTTCTCTAATAATTTGACAGACAGATTTTCAGGGACATGTTTTCTAACACCTTTCAGACTTCTCCATAAAACCACATTATGTAATTTAATGGTCTCCCAAGCACCTGTATCTTCATTATGTGCTTATTTCTTCTCATGTTTTATTGAATTAATTACAGATTAAAAGTTCAGTCCACTTAACAAAAGTAGAGGAATGAAATAAGGAAGACATCTCAGTCCAATCAGTGTCTGAATGCTTAGACAGGTGATTTTAAGTGGATTGGAATTCATTGTTTTCGTAAATAATGTTACAAAATAATTCAAAGGATAGGAAAAATTCACTGGATTAAGTTTTCATAAAATGTATCTCTATCAGTTGGAGACCCAAAAAGCTGACTGACAACAGCAATTATTCTAGTCTCCTTTAATTCTCAGAGTATAGGTAATGTAGTTGATTAAGCTGGCAGTTCCTCATGTCAGACTTCTGTACTACCTTCCAATACAATTTTGTCATAAATGGTGATCAATAATGTGTCAATTCTTAACATAGACCTAAATTTAGCCCTTACTAAATAGAATTTAGAGGAAATGCTTCCATTCTCTACAGTTTTAAGCTTTAACCACAAAACCAATCCAAACCTTAGAATGTCTTATTGCTTTTCTCTTGACTCCCTAAAAATAAATTAATGCAAAATGTGTCATCATCTTCAGCTACTCCTTTCTAATCACTTAACAGAAGTAGATCATCTGTTTATTCGCCCTATCCTGGACAGTCCCTTCCTGATATGATGCAGCTAGATTTGATAAAGTGCATGCTAAGAAATAGGAACATTAAGGCATTTTGTATTTGGCGTGCAAGCCATTGCTAAAGAAAGCCTGCTACTATATAGGTCCATAGCAACTGTATACAGCAGACATACCTTTCCTAGAAACAGCATAAAATCCCCAACTGTGTTTATGGCGGCCACTCGCAAAGCATTTTCCACTAGAATAAGAAAGGCATCCTTTGCTGAGGTGCAGAAGTTGGTGCTGTTGATAGCTGTGGCTGTATATGCGTTCTGGGAAAAGGAGATTGAAGATTTAGTCATGGAATGATCAGATATTTCAGACAGAGGAGGGGTGAGGAGAGGGCAAGATACAGCTTCTGAATAAGTCACGTAAGTCATATGATGCTAATGAACAAAGAGTCCCTTGAGACTTGCTGGATCAAGCAGTATATACCAGCTGACAGAAGACTATACGAGGTAGAGAATAATTATCTTCTCTTCCCTTGCTCATCATTTATGCATTAACAAGTTTATTCCAAAAAACTAATTAGACAGAATTGGCAATTTCTCTGCAGGAGGAGGTGAGCAGTGGCATAACTACAGCAATTAAGTAGTTAGAAAAAATATTCTGGAAATATAAAAGAGTTTGAGAGTCATACAAGTCCACCAAGATAATTTCTAGATACTTCACTAGACTACATACAAGGTTGACCAGGACAATTTTCAAGGGTTACACTGTTTGTTTTTTTTTTTTTATTATTTCTTCTGCTTTTATTTTCTGTATTTCCACAAGCAAAAAAAAAATAACAACAGTGAAAAAGATATCAGAGAGATATACTTAACAGAGGTGGAACCACAGGCCGATAAAACCACTTTTACAAAGGGGTCTGCCCAGCCAGTGTGTCACAACTTGTAGCTCTTTTTTCACTTCATAGATGGTGATTGCAATTTGATGTTATATACAATTTTTCAATTGTGTGAACCTTAAATATTACACCTAGAAAAGCTGCACTCTCTTTTCATAGCAAACATATTTTGAAACTCATATGTAGTTTGACAGAGTGGACATAAAGGGGGAACATCTCCAACCACTAAACCAATTGTTATAAAGTTGAGATACCATGTTCACAAAGATGAATACTGGCTATTTTTCACTGTTGCAATGTAAACAAAGACTAATGTAGTGATTTGCAGTGTAATATCAGTAGTGGAGGCCAGACTGAAGTACCGTCATTCAAGTTCAGTTCCAAAGTATAATACATTATGTGTCTGCCTCAGACTGCATTCTTGGAATATATATATATATTATCAGCCCTTACATAAAACCTGAATATTGAAACTCTTACCTGATTTAAGTAGGTCAGGCACTTTTCTAGACACCAGAGGCAGCAGATGCAGGCTTTAAGCATACAGCGAGCACAAGCATTTTCCTAGGAAAGCAAAGAATGTGGGAAAACATACAGTAAAACCAACAGATCTTAAGAAAACATCATTCATTTGTGTTCCAGTAACTGATACTCAGCTTGGTAATTTAAGTAATCCCGCTCAGCCCCACAGTCCTTTAAAGACCCAATATTCCAAAACAAGACTTCCAGTCTCCCACACAGATTATATCAGCTGTAAACATGTCAGGCCTTGAGTTTTAGTACAAAACCAGAATCTATTTATCTTACTTTTCCTTTGAGTTGTGTATGAATATACATAAGAATCATTCGTGGTATCTTCACTAGCGTAATAATGAAAGACCCTTTTGCTACTGTTCCTAGGTGGTAACAAACAAGGCGATTAACAGATGCCAGAATAGGAGTAAATGGCAAATTCCTTTTCTCCCTGTTGAAAAGAGAAAAAGAATGAAGTAGAATGATCAGTATGTATGTAATATCATCTAGAAGTGCTACAAATCCTCAATAAGATAATGTGCAAAAGGAATGTATTATTCTTATACCAGCTTGCAGGGTATATTGTTCACTCCACACTGAAGGTCTGTGTAAGTTATGGTTTTGGCTCTAATGCAGTAATAGGAATAGGATAAGGAATCACTATATCTTAAGGGTAGTCTTACTAGCAGTTGCTGCATGACTGCTATTGCAAATTAGCAGTTTCCATACATCTGATGGTGTGCACTTCAAAACCTTCCAAAAAGCATTAGAAATTATGCTAATATTTTTTCAGTCTAACTACTGATAAACTTGCCTTCCCCTTCTCTCGTGTTCTGTGGGAGGTCTTTGTGGAGACTTTGGAGAGGATAGGTCTATTTTTATTTGTTAGGTAAATTCTTTTCTCAGATGTTTTTCATTTCTGATTTAGCTATTATATGCTTAAGGAACCAAGTATTAAGCCTTAAAACAGACTATTTCATTGCAACTTGTCTAGAATATTTTTAATCTATCAGATGAATATTAATTTTCACAGTTTTAAAGCAATTCCCTCTGCAAGTTTTTATTTGTATTTTCTACCAAGCAAGCCACCTCTATTTTGCTCTCAAAGAACAGCTCTATTCAAGACTTAAAGAATGGCTCCTCTTATTAGAAATATGAACATAATAATAACCATATTAAAGGAACAAGTGCTAACATTCCAAACATAAAATACCTCCCCAGATTGGGAGAAAGTTACTTTCATGTGAGTTTCATTCAAAAAAAAGAAGTAGAGTCTTGCCAGAATCTATATGTAAATGATGAATCTAATAAGACCTTAAGTAATCTTATGTAAGAAAGATTACTGAAGCACTGTAAATAATTTAAAGAGCACAGTGAGCGTGTGAACACTTTGGAGTCATCATTCTTCTTTGTTGTTGTGTAGTAATAATTTCCCAACTGGTACCCAGAACCTGTAGTTTGTTAAATGTTATTGGAGCACTGTTTTGGTTACCCCCGTTGTCTCATTGGTTTCGGCTGTTTGGATTTGGTTACAAATTAAAGCTTGTTCAAGTTTATTATCTTTGTAAAGGCACTTTGGCATACTTCCATAACAAAACCAGCAAAACAGATTATTTTAGGACTTCACATGTTTTTAAAATTCAACTGCTCTCCAGATTTCAGGACAGAAGCATGTATTCTCCCCCAAAGCTCTGTCCTTCATTACTACTGCCAATCCCATTTCTAGGTTGCTCATCGTAGAGGCTAAGTTGTCCTTACCTTGTAAAATAGTATGTCACAACAGCCCCTGCTACTGTCATCTGCTGACAGGCTAGGATAAACTCACTGATCCAGATGAGTCCCACTGCATGGTACCACCACATGTATTTCAAAGGACCTACCATCCGAAATTCAACAAATCCTTCTTCATTTGGGACAGGACTACCTAGAAATAAGTGAGGGTAAAAAAGGAAATGATGCTTAACATCAGCTCAGAAAGAAATAATCATGTGGTATGAGCAGTTCATAACTGTCCACAGCAGAAACCTAGCTTCTACTAATAGTTCTGAATGTCATGTTTAGGAAGACTGTTCATAGGAAAGATACAGCTTTTGAGACAATCAGCATAATGGCATTTGAAAAAAGCACTAAAAAAAATACCGAGCATATTCAAAATCCTGCAACACTGCTTTTAATTTTTAGCCACACAGTGAAAATTTCAAAAACAAACCACCATTAAGGAGTAAAAGTTCTTACAATTAGACATAATAGAAGACTGCTTCTGTCATTCTTAATTTCAGTCTGCTGCTCTGTTGATATTATTTTTACAGCAAGAATCAGTATTAAACTTCATAGCTCCTTACATCTGGATGGCAACATTAACAATCAGTTTTGTTTTCCTTATGGTAAGTCTTTGTGCATGTATTCCAACAATATTTGTAGCTTTAAAGCTAAGTACAGGCATAAGGAGCAGTTTTATTGATTCTAAACGCATGATTTTATACATTCAGACACCTATTGACTCTTTGTCTAATCCAAACAGTGATAACATGTATTGAGACTGACATGTGAAAACCCTCCTAGAATAAGCTCTATTTCAATGTGTTAACGCACATTGAAATGTTTCATCCTATAGAATTTATGAGAACAGCTGGTAAGATTCAGAAAAATACTGAAAGTAACATCACATGTATAAAATGCTTACCTTGAAATCCATTGTTTTGACTTGGCTATGCTTTTACACATATTAAAAAAATAATATTTTCTTGTGAATAAACTGAACTATTTAAATAATTTTGGTTTTAGTGAACAAACTCTTAGTAAGTGTAGCTGCTTCTCACACACAGGTAAGGTACACTTTTTCATTTCTCCTGGTTTGGATTGAAAAAATCTGGCCCTATTTGCACAAAGATTTTGTTTAACTGGTATCATGAAGATGTTGAGTGCATATAAAGCTAAAAGCATAAATTAGTCTTTGCAGAATTAAGGCCAGTTGAAGAGTTCTGTCAGTAAAATATAGTATCAGCCTAAATTCTGCTACAAATTTAGTCTCTGTGTGGTGGTCTTTAATTCACAGAGTGAAGCATGGGACCAAGACCTAACTCACTTTTGGAGGAGAACATTTTCTGCACATAGCACAGCATGTAATGAAAACTAAAAATTGCAACAGTAATGAGAACAAGAACACATGAATTCTACTACCTCCATCCCTTGCTAAGAATTCAGGCTATGAAATAAAAAATACTTATCTTGTATTATCCTGAAATAGCTCTGTAGCCTGAAACACTGCTACTTTTGGATCAGCAATAAACAATAAATTTCAAAATTCTAAGGTTTTAATAATGAATGATGGTCTCTACTGCCTACAACTTACTGCAAAATAACAGACACCTCTCATTTTAAAAAGCAGTCTCTAGGTTTCTCTGCTGAACTAAGATTTAGACCTATAGGATCGACTAACACTAGAACCTCATCAGACTCCGAACACAAGCAAAGCTCTCATCTTCTACACTCTTCACAGCAGGCAGAAATTGAGAATACATTGGTTGCTCTCAGAATAAAGTGTGCAACAGCAGAAATCTCCCTAATAATCCTGGAAAATTCTGGAATAATACTGGACACTTAAGTTACGAACAACTGGAAACTAATTCCAGTATATTTACATTTTGGGAGACAGTAATTGTGTGCAACAGCCCTTTCATTGCTATGTCTTCAGCTATGTGTGTACTGGTTACAATAGAATAATTTATGAGATTACCTTCAAGATTAGGCTGGTTTTAACTTATTTGTGTAAAATTAGAGGGAATTACTTGAAAAATTGTTACATTAGACTTATCAATGGAGTCTTGTGGTTTGCAACATGCCAACTTGCATCAAATCAAAAAGCCAGCCTAAGGCACAAAGTAACTTACTGGGAATGAAGACCCAAATGCACACCACCTTTCCTGAAACAAGTGTTTTGAAGTCACTGAAGCAGACAAGAACAGAAGCACAGTATGTCAGGGTTTTTTTCTAGAGGTTCCCACATGCTTTTTAACTGTGCCTGAAACCACACAAAAATGAAGTGGAATTTATTTTAAATAAGCCTGATAGCTGCTTACCTGTAGTACCAAGGAAAAGCAGGACTGTGATCCAGTATATCCAGAAGAGGATAAGCACAAAGAATGTCCAAAATGGCTGGAAGACTAGCAGTGGCAGGTGAATGAAGACCTTGCCAGCCACGTGGAACAAGGCAATGGTGAGAGCTACTCTTTTGCGCATAATTAACATTATCAAGAACAAGATAACCTAGAGGGAGAAGTTTTCAAATCACATTTTAGAGAACTGAAAAATAAGCAAGCTACCATTTTGCACAGCTAGGACATTTAAACACAGCAAATTTAACATGTTCTATCTATAAGATCACAAGATCAAAATGTAAAACTCCATCAGCTGCTTCTGGTGATAAATTATTTTCCAAATTCTACTTCTCGGGAATTCCAATCTCATAATTATGCATTTGGAATAATCATCAGCCTCAGGGTGATGAGATTAGACCAAATGCTATCCTTAATTATGTTTTATAAACTAATGAAATCATCAAGATTTAACAAAGAATACAATTTAGCAATTATATTTGAGCATGGTGTGGTGGTCTTATCATATTTAGTCAAACACTGTCAATTCTTAGTTGTAAAATCAGTGACTCCAAAACAGACAGCAAGGCCTAAAGAAAATAAATTGTTTCAGTAATCAGTGTCAGTATTTCAGTTCACAGCAATCCTTTTATAAATGGAAAAAGTTTGGGAACAACTGATTTCAGAAGTAGGAATGGTCTAAGGGCTTTCAAATAAACTGAAAGGATTAAGTATGTCTGAACTGGGAACTTTAAAAAAATCTCCTAAGAGAAAATGGATTGGGAGTCCAACACTGTACCTATTCTTGGAAGTCCCTGTGGACATTTTACAGTAGAGGAGAGTAGCCGCAGGGTTAAGAACTCTCCTGACTCAAAAACAGGTATTAGAGAAAAATGCCTGGAAGTAAAAAAATAACTAAATAACTAACTAAACAAAAACAAACAAAAACCCCCATCACTGCAAGAGAGGTTGCAGAAGAAATAAACTGTTCAAAAATGTCTGCAATATAAACCTTTCACCTGAATAAAAAAATAGGGACTGCCAGGAAGATGGAACAAGAGAGTAATATAGCCATTAGCAAAGCATACCGTGAAGACTGTAGCTGAAATGGCATAGATCAGGAGAGCCTGAAGATTGTCTTTGGCTATTTGAGTCTCAACAGCACTGGCAGATATTCGTTGCTTAGCATAGAGCCACCACAGGACTCCTGTACCACCTATGTTTAGAGAAAATAAATAAATAAATAAATAAAGGTAAATGATTGAAGCTCCTTCTGTGTGACAGTCATACTACCTAGTACGAAAGAAACTAAACAGTTTATTCTTTTCGAGTCTAGTCTGGTACAGAATACTCAAGGGCACTGATGCTTAACCCAACAGGAACTTCTGAAGAGAGAGAAGTTCTTAGTTCTCTAGAGTTGCCCTCTTCTCAAGTGGATATACTCTTTTCACAGTCTCACCCCACTACGAGCACTTAAGAGACTTGCAGATCTTTGTGTTTTAAAGTGAAGTGCATGAAAGGACTAGTTCATGGGGAGCCATAACAATGAAGATCACAACTGCCATTAGACAGGCAACTGAGGAACAAGAATAATAAAGAGTTATATGGTAGGATGTACATATATATGTGTATAATAAAGTAGGGAGTAAGAATTTTAGGAGGGGGAGCAGAGAGGGACCTTTGGACTGGGATGCAAAATAACAAAGGGAACAAAAGAAGGAGTCTACAACTCCTGGGAAGGCTAATCAAGAAGAGAAGGAGCAGCCCTGATGTTGAAAATGGCACCTCAGGTTAATGACACATAGATACACCTACATCAGACAATGTCTTTTGGCCACTAGAAAAAAAATCTGTGAAAGGCACAGAGGCCAGTATCATGTGAGCTACTTTCCTCTAACCCCTGTTACAAAATCGTAGCTTTATAGCCAGAATATCATTCTCCTATTCTAGATACCTTTCCAAGGTAGAACTTTTCTTATACAGGACTCCAGCCCCTCAGGTAGATAACCTCTTCCCCCTGATTCACTTTTGAGTGTCCTTCTCTGTTCTGTTGTTATTTCTGCACCAGCTGCATACGGTTATCCAGAGGTTACAAGTCTTTGCTGAAGGTACTCCATTCAAGTCTAAGTCTAGAATGGAGGATGCTCTTTTGGCATCTCCTTAACAAACAGTGAATACAGAATAAGCAGTATGTCTCACAGATGACATATCTTTATTCAATCCGTGTAATGGATGTGATTTTTTAGAGCATAATAACAGATGGCAATAAGATAAGTCATTCAAATCTTTCACTCAACATAGTTGCTCAGCTTCTAAGGAGAATATAAAATTAAAAAAAAAAACCAACAACTTTTTTTTTGCTTTTTCTACGGTCACAGAACCTGAGACCAGTAAGCAGAAAACCCAAGTGATCCTGCAAAAACAGATGGCCTGCTGATTTTTTTTCCATCCCTTGCAGTTATGAACTGCAAGAATTAAATTGCTAGTGCTTCCTAATTTGATTATTCTATTTTCATTCCTTCCCTACAGTCATCTGCCCATACATTTTGGCTAAGCTACTGAGTATCAATAATAGAAAAATTTAGTTTTACAAATGTAAAAGTTAATGTGATAAAGTAAGGCTGTTTTCATGCAAGCTACATAATTTTGGATGAAACAATCTTTGTCCATTCCCAAAACAGCATGGCTGGTTGCATTTCATACATGACGTAGGTCATGCAGAACTTTCTGAGTCATATGGAAATATAAAGATTTGATTAAAAATGCTAAAAAAGCACCTTCGATTCCTCTCCTCAGGAACAGGTCTTAGATATACCTACAGAACTACTCAGACGACTAAAGGAGCTGATAAACATGTCAGGGTTTTACAGACACATCTACATCCTAAGATCCCCTGAGACTGCATAAACAGTATTGTTTATTGGATAAACAGTATTTGCCCTTTGATCCCTTCAGCATGGGCAGCGGGTGGGTGTTTCATCAGACTCACCCAGACTAGCTGCCATGCTGCCATATTTGGGAAGCAGGTTAAGAAGCAGGCAACATTTAGGGCTGTGCTGTGAGGAATATCTCCTATTGCCTATGTGGGCTCTAGCGAGATAGGCTGACAGGAAGCTTGCCAGACAAGCAGGGTGTGCAGTAAATCTCTAAGGAGCAATGTACTCGCTGGGAGAGGACTGCAATTACAGAGGTGGCATTTTTGGCATATGTCTTGCAAGGGCCTTAAAGGAAAGCTGAAGAGAAATGCATGATCCAAGATCTGTGCAAGATGTAGCTGGCCTGAGGACACGGAGCACAAAGATCAGAACTGGGTACTCAGAAACTCAAGACAAACAAGACTTACCGAGTGATCCCAGAATGACAAGAATTGTTAAAATCCAGACAAGTACTCTTGAAATGTACCTGATTATAACCATCAAAATCATGGACAACACTGCAAAAGAAGACAAATAAAATAAGCAATTATTTCAAGCAGAAATAGCCTTCCTCATTCTTCCACTGCACTAAGATAACTGCCTTCCAACAGAATTTTTAGACAGATTTCTTTTCTGAAGCTTAGAAACTCACTGCACAGTTAAGGAAATGAGGCACCTCTACAATCTCTGCTTTGATACTGTTGATTAAAAAAACAAAGAGAGCATAAATACGTTTACATGGTACATTGAATACAAGACATAATGTGTACGTACAGACAGAGATGTATTTAGACAATGACAGAACAGACAGCAAGACATGCTAGTACTCCCAGTCTGGTAACATGAGCACACCTCTGGAGGACCAGAGCAGAATTTGGACTCAAATATGCTTGTCAAACAAGTGCAGATAATGTGACATCTGTGGACTTCTAAATGTAATACTAGTAAAAAGTAAAAAAACATATGTCTATTTTCAACATTCAAAAGGAGTTCTTTAACAAGCTTTGTTCACATAGTTCCACTGCCATTCAGGAACTGCATGTTAAAAAGTCTTCTACAATCCCAGACAACTAAGGTTTACTGAGTGGTGTATGCAAGTGCACGCACATACTTTTGCATATAAGTATTTGGGTACAGCAGTTACAAGAAAGCCACTGGAACCTGACTTTCCAAATCACACAATCTTACTCATTGCTTAAAAATAAATAAATTCTGTTTAACTATGAAGGTATGAAAAGTATTTCTAAAATAAACTGTCTTCTGGCTCTAACTGAACAGCAACACTGCTAATCAGCCACTAGTTTTCAGTAGATTTGGAACAGTCTTTCTACCATTACTACCAAATACTGCAGCTGTCAAGATAGAAGAATAAACAGCTTTCCAGTTATAGTTGAAAAGATACTCAATGGTCTTTTGTGGTTTTGGGGTTTTTTAAAGGTTATCTAGCATCCTTTTTTTTTTTTTTTTTCTTTCTTTAAACCACAAAGGCAGACTGAAAACAAAGGACTTTATTTGGTACAGCTTCACAGTGTTTCTTTCAAAAGCACACACTGCTCATATACATAGTTAATATCTGGAGCCTCTCATTTTAGGATTTCAGATTTTATAGTTGGTAGGAGTAAAACAGACTCATTAGGAAGGTAATTGCTGTGGGTGGGTAACATTCCACCTTAATTCACAAGACTCTGTTAAAACACCACTTCAGTCGAGTGTCATGGGTCACTCTATAGGCCAGAGGCATCTTGACACTGGAGGAACAATTCAGCTCCTCTACACTACTGGGAATTTCCAGCTCTTCAGACAAAGCTGAGATTTTCAAAGGCCTGTAGAATTTAATTTTGGGGGAAGAGGAAGAAGGAAGTAACATACAACACAACAAATGGGCACTTAAGTTTCTTATTTTCCCTCTGAAAGTTCTCATATCCCTGCACAAGTATGTTAAATGAAACAAACTAAAACCCCTACACTCTAGAAAAGTGTGCCATTGTGTATTTCTCACAATGTCCTTTTTATTTGGAAAGAGTTTATTTGGACATGGGTTGGCAGAAGATGAGTATTAGAAATAGGAAAGAGGTGCGATAATAAAAATTAGAATGGGAATGCTCTGTTAACTACACCAAAACTAATGCTGGCTAATCAACAGCCATGCATCCTCTATCTCATAATCAGTGGAAGAGGATTAAAACCAGGAATGCATATGTATATTGCTTCTGAGTAAGTTACCCATCTGTCAAATAAAAGTTTAAAAAAGCATTATGAACCATTTTCTAAGGGTTTTTGCTTATATTGTGGTTAGAGATGTGTTAACAATCTCCTAATGCAGTACTAAGAAATAGCTAGTAATGAGAAAAACAATTACCTAGTGATAACAAGCAAAGTCCCATTATAATCTCTTTGCTGGTCATAACTCCACTAATCAGCCTGTGTAAGACACTACTGTCACTGACAAAGGTGATCAGGGCCTCTGCAAACTTGGCATAGCAGGAAATGTTCACAGGAGCACAGCGATGGAAGAATGGAATAGGTGCACTGGTGACACAAGAAAAAAAAAATCAGAAAAAAAAATTACTCCTACTTAATATAAATGCCACATCAACACACAAATGAAGGGTGAATAGATGCAACCATTCCACCCTCATAACATCATAACCAGAAACCATGTGTTGAATGCACAAGTGCTGCTGGAATGAGGATGATCATAATGGGAAGTGATGCAGTTCTTAACACGTAACCCTGTGAGGCTGGAGTGCACAGTCCAACAGGAAATTATTACCCTCCCACCCTTAAACATCAAGGCTCAGAAAATACATATTCCCAGTTCCGCTTAAATGTCTCTCATTCAAGTGTCAGGTGGCGAACCAGCAGCTGAAACAATACCTTTCACTCAGATTAGAATGGAATACTGGCCCATATTTGCAGCAGAAGAAATCCCAGAATGACAATACTCTTCTTAAAGCATGTATTTTATGCTAAAAGGCATCATCACTTAAAATTGCTGCCAAGCAAACCCAATGTATTTATTTTTAGTCCTTCCCCATACTAAACTTGCTCTTGCGTTGAAGATTACAGACTATTTACTTTCACTAACTTGTTTAAACTTACGCTATACATTGTTTGGAAACCATGCAAAGATGCCTCCATTGTTTCATTATTCCTGAACTGTTTTAGAAGCATCCTCCCCAAAAATACTGTCACTATGCATTAAACTTTGCAGCATGCTCAGCAGAACTTGTTATCACGTCCATCAGAGGAAGATACGAGAATAAAAAAATTCACTTTAACAGTGGGTAATTTTGTTTTCCAAATGTTTCCCATTAAGTAGCTGCCTTTCTTGCTTATAAACTATGTCAAATCTCAAAATGGCCTATGACATCTTCTGATCAGTCTTCCCAATTACACTTTAGACACATGTTCCATGAATTACATGTTCCCTCCTGTAACTGGATCCAGTGAAAGAAATGTCTTTTGTATTATGTCAGTCTTTTCTTCTAACCTCTGTATTTGTTTTACCCTGCCCAATCTTCCTTACAAGATTTCAGTGGACTGTAGCAGCAATGCACATAATCTTTTGCAGTTTCCCCATTTCAGCAATGACCTATAAACCAGCAATTTTCTGTACTCAACAACTATTTGCTAAGCCCATACACTTCCAAAATTCTAACCATCATTTTAAACACATAGTGAGTAAACCAGCTGCCTTAGTCACATCCCTTCTATGCATTGTTTTTTGGGAAAAAGAGATGACATGCTGAAAACTGTTAGTGTGTAATTACTCTGTATAGAATTTGGGAGAAATTATGATCACCTGCCATACCTAGGTGATTAGCAGATTCTAGGTTTTTGTTTGAAGTGACTGACGATTGCAAATTATATGGTTTTAAACTTACTGTGCTGAGTGGGTAAATGCATTTGGAGATGCTCATATTGATGGTCTACTTTTGGGTAATGATGAAGACAGCAGTTAAGCACAGCAAAGTAACTGTGAATTAGTCACAGTTGTTAAAAACCAAATTAACCCATAATGATGGCTGCTGTATTTAAAAGGCTGCCCACGTATCCTCTCAGCCTCTTACAACATAGCCTGTTTTGGAATAAGCAGCATGCTGCACTTCACCATATGCAGTAATACTAGAAAAGACTGAAATTTGAGAGGTTTATTTAATTGTTAACTACTCCAAATTTGCAGAAAGCCTAGAGCATTTAGAAGCTGGCAATTATCAGTAACAAAGCTCAAATGTTGAGCTGGGAGTAGGCAAAGGACTGTCATTCCTGCATCCAAGTAGAAAATACCCATTTTGAAAAGGGGAACTAATGGAATTAAAATACCGTTCCAAAATCCATCCCAACAGAGGAAAACATGCTTTTTGCATACAAGAGTTTATATTACTCATCTAACATCCCTTAAGCTATAGCAATTTCACTATACAGTTTAAGCTACCTATTTAAATGTTCAAGAATTAATTTCTAGCTTCATTGTAATTAATAATAAAAGAAAATAGGCTAGTGGTTCCTACAAGCTTTCCTGAGTAAATGGGACTCCTGAGAATCCGCCTTTTGAGATCTGTTGCTGTTTCAGTGCTTCTGACTGAATGAGTAGGCAAGGAAAGGTATCTTGTTTAATAAAAAATGTGCTATTTTATATGGCCTCTTGATTGTAACTTGGTATATTACATACTGAAATGGAATTACAAGTTTCTGAGAATAACGACACGATGCTTAATCATGAACAAGAGCAAATAAAGTTCAAGCCAGCAGATGGTGGTGTTAAAAACTGTATTTTTAAAGCAACATTCAAATGAAATCAAGAGACCCATTTGATTGCTCAAGTATTAGATTTCAGAGGAGAGCTTCTTCCTTTCGCTACTACACCTGGGCATATGCAGCAATCTGGTGGGGGGAGCCTGGCTGGGACGCCACTGCTAGCTGGTCTTTATAACCTCTACAGGGCAGCCCCTTGGTACAGCTCAGCACAGCTGGCTGATAGATGAATGATGCAGGGAAAAGCTGGATCGGTTTTCCTCTAGGGTCCTCTTAAAGTCATGCTCTACTGAGACTGAGATATGGTCTCTGGAAGAAACATGTACCGCTGGCTGCATTGCTAGACTGCACTGCTGTGTCAAAGTTGGACATAACGCCTTGAAGCTGGAGGATCAGTCCATTGAGAGGTGAAGCCTCAACTGAAGGGTGTCAAGAAGCCTGGTCATCAAACAGAAAACATCAAGGGACAGTCCTCACAGCATATGCCACCTCTGTCCCATGGACCTAATGGGAATCAGATGACAGTTCAAATCTGAGAACAGGAGTGTAAGGTAACTTCTCCCTGAATGCCTCAGCCTACAGGGTGTTGGGCTTTAATTTGTTTGTCTCCACAGGATTCCATTTCCCCTCCAAATTACACTGATTTGCTCAAATAATTTAACAATAAAAATCTGAAAACCAGAGTGGTTTACAGATACAATAGTGGCCCTTTTTGCCTTAGAGCATTAAGTTCAGTCTTTTCAATCTCAAAAATATTCAAACATATTGTACATTTTATTCATACTAAATAAAAAAGGGGAAATACACCACCTACACCATAGCTTTTCAAAAATAACTCGATGTAGATTTCGTGAGTAATTTACATAGTGTCATTAGAGCTCTGACACACTGTTCTATCCTTCTGTTTTCTTATTAAGCTATATTCTTTCAGACTAAATGACATGGGAACACACAATCAGAAAAGTCAATATAATTCTGGCAAAAACTAAGACTGACAAGCCTTTTCAGTATGCAAGCTGGCACTGAAGTTTTCATTTGTTTTTGTATTACAGCTGTAACAGCTGGTTAGCTGCATGGAATATTAATCTGCTGTGGTGAAAAGTAAAAAAAAAAGTTAATATTCCAGCTGCTATTATTGTCACTACAATATAAGAAAGCTATTCACTGGAGAGGCTACCTTGCAGACAAGAGAGACTTAAAATCGTGAGTTTTTAGAACTGACACAATTATAACATTTAATAAAACCATAACAGAAAACTCTGCATAGGAAAAGACTCTGCAGTTACAACCCACTACTAAGTATGTTTGAGAAGCTAAACTTTGAGAAAACACATAATTTTTCTTGAGTGAGTGGAATTACAGACAGAAGGGTATATACAACAGCAAACAGATCACTTATTTTCTCAGCAGTGCTCGTCTCCACAGTTCCAGGCAGCAGAGCTAGCAAACTTTTTGGAGCTATGAACTTCTGTATTATACTTCACAAAAAGCAGTCTAATACAATATTTTAAATAATAAAACTCAAATCAATCTGTTTGTAAAATACAGCCCTATTTTTGGTACTTGACCATCCTTGTATTAGTCATTTGAGACTGAAGAAATAAAAAATGAAACAATTTGCTAAATTTGACTGTCTGAGGTAAGGTGTAAGAAGTGAACACTGTGGAGAGCTGTGTGCCAATCTATCCTTTTTCCTCCCAAAGATCCAAAGTGCTCCTTAACTGTCTCTGATCTGCAGTGCTGACAGGCAGCTGGCTATAGGGTCAAAGGCAGTAAAACAGCTGATACTCAGCACAGTGTCAGTTACATCGAGATAGAAGAGAACTTGAAGAGACCAGCTCAATACTCTCAGTAACACATGCATGGATAGTTTGGGGTATTCTTTAAGAGTTGCTTTCACACTCTTTTAAAAACATGTAGCAATATTAAACTAAAACATACACCTGTAAAACAGAATAAATCTGTGCTGCATATTTTCTGAAGAACTGCCATGAACAAAACAAATTTCTGCTCCCTCCACCCCCAATCCAACAAGATGTTAATATTACCTCTCTGGAACAGGATATTTAGGACACAACTTGGCAGCCCTTGGGTCTGTAGTGTATTCTGACGGCTGTAGTTCATAGCTACACAGAGTGGATCCTGTTGAGAGGGAAAAGAAAAATGATAGGGAAAAAATATAAAACTCAAATATTCCCATTCTTTGCAAATGGTAATAAAACTGATATAGGTCCTGATTCTGCAGATCCTCGTGCTCTTACCACACAGATATGCTACAGTTCCTCCTGTAATGGAACAGTGAATCAAGTCCAACACAGGCTTCAGTGTAACAGAAGGACACTATCTAGCTTTGGGTCTTCCAACATTTGTGTACTCGTTGTGTACTCGAATGGAAAATGCTGATTCACAATGCAGTGTAAAAGAGAAGGACACACAGCACTTTGAAATCACCGTCCCCCTGCTACCCCACCATGCTTTTTATTGATCATTTTTAGTGCATGAGTATTGCATAAGACAATATTCATTATAGAAAGAAAACATTCAAGTGTTTTTTTTTTTTTAGGTTGGGTTGTTTTTTGTATTTTCAAAATACATCTGGGTCTACAGACTTCAGAGAGGGGAACAATGGAACCAAACCACTGAAGTTAGAAACTTGGGTGAAAAATAACACAAGCACTGAGTTAGATGTCCAAAACTTCTAACAAAGCTGAACTTTCTCCATAAACAAATCAGTACAGCACAATAAAGATCAAGTTGACTACAACAAAATTTAAACATAATTTAAAGTTTCCTTAGTATCTGACCCTTGACCTAACAGAAGTACACCACCTAGACAGACATCTTTCCGTTTGTCCATAATCAAGATACTGAACGTTTGAGACAATGCTTCTAGGAATACAGCAAGTGCAAAATCAGATTGGAGCAGCAGTCTCACAGAAACTGGAGGAAAAGTTAAGAAATTTTCCAATGGTATAAGCTGCCTATCCAAAGATGAGTTTCTTCCCAGGCCTGTTTGCAAACAGATTGCTTACTCCCCAGTGCAAGGGCTCCGAATACATAGCATTTGGTGTCCTTTTCTTCCTACCTAATAAACTAAGGACATCTTGATCATCGCTTTAAATATTCAATTATTTCCATTATGAAAATCATCTCTCCAGAAATACTTTGTAGCATGGACTTCTACAAACTGGATCTGGATAATACATACACACTTTTACCCAAATTACATCACGAATTTTGAGAAACAGCATTATCTTAGCCTGCATGACACCAAACAGAAGTATTATTTGTAGAATTTGTAGAATATTATTTGCAGAAATCGTGCTTACCATTGCCACATTGCTACCTCTATGAAGAGACATCTATTTACAGACTGAAAGAGAACAGAGTGAGCAGCTGAGCAGGCTATCCCATGCAGTCTCTGGAACACTACTTTAATACTTCTATCAATTAGTTTTTTGAGGGCAGATCCAAAACACCAAATACACCACTGAAGCAACTTAGATTTCCTGCAAAGAGAAGCTATCAGGTAAAACATCTGAACTCTATTTTCAATTATACTGTTTATATGAATCCTTACGCCTCTCATTGCTTATGTGGAAAGCACAGCATGAGATAAATAGACATCAGACAGAAACTACCCTCCTTACGTTGTAGTTGTAGATGCAGTATCTAAAAGTAATTATTCTTATTTTTGGATGAAACACTCTATACTGCTGCAAAATTTTAAAATCTATTCTTGTAGGTATGAAAACTTCTGCATCAAGTACATTTAGAAACAACTCCAGAATTTGATGGATGGGCAGCAATAGTCACCTGGTTATCTTAAAACCAGAATGAAAAAGAAGACTGCAAATATTTACATTTATTTTGCTTTGAATATATGCCAAAAGCTAAGTTATAAATATGGTTGACAGCTGGCTGAATATGAGCCAGCAGTGCACCAGGCGGCCAAGGTGGCCAGTAGCATCTTGGCTTGTATCAGAAATAGTGTGGCCAGCAGGACTGGGGAAGTGATTGTCCCCTTGTACTGGGCACTGGTGAGGCTGCACCTTGAATACTGTGTTCAGTTTTGGGCCCCTCACTATGGAAAAGACATTGAGGTGCTGTAGCAGGTCCAAAGAAGGGCAACAAAGCTGGTGAAGGGAAGAACAAGTCTTATGAGGAGCGGCTGAGGGAATTGGGTTTGTTTATCCTGCAGAAAAGGAGGCTGAAGGGAGACCTTCTCACTCTCTACAACTACCTGAAAGGATGTTGTAGCAAGGTGGGTGTCCATCTCTTCTCCCAAGTAGCAAGTGATAGCATGAGAGGAAATGGCCTCAATTTATGCCAGGGGAGGTTTAGATTGGATATTAGGAAAAATTTCTTCACCAAAAGGGTTGTCAAGCACTGGAACAGGCTGCCCAGGGAAGTGGTTGAGTCACCATCCCTGGAGGTATTAAAACGGTGTAGATGTGCCTGGGGACATGGTTTAGTGGTGGACTTGGCAGTGTTAGGTTAATGGCTGGAATCTGTGGTCTTAAAGGTCTTTTTCAACATAAATGATTCCATTGTTCTATTCTATGATTCTGTGATGAAAACAAGTAGTTTTGTAGGCAGAAGTGAAGGAGGATGCTGTATGTGGACAGCTGTATACAGATTCATGATACAGAATGTTCGGTGGCAGCTTGGTCATTTTGCCATTCAACACTACCAGTGCTGAACTACAGTTTAAGTATCTTATGCAGAGACCTCCCCACCCAAATAAGCCTAAGGGACACACCTGATCTGTGGATATCTATGTTGCCTTGTGACTTCTAGCAGTCTAGAAGTCTAGAGAAAAAGAGTTGAATTTGATATGGCCATTATTATTATCACTCGTGAATGTTTCAAATATATTATGGGTAGAATTCAGAGAGCAAACTGACAAATCATTGAAGTAGTACATCCTTTGCTTCATATAGCAATGTAGATATTTCTTCTGGAGAAATCATTAGACAAACAACATCAAACTGTGCTACAGAGATTGGATTTGAGATCCCAATATGTTGCAACCTTAAAGAAAAATACTTCTGAACTATGCAGAGCAACAGTTGCTGGGCTACTGGTGAGCACAGTTTACTGATCCCACAGTGCTGTTATTCGGTGCTTTTGCCTACAGAGTGGTAACCTAGAAATAAAATACAGTTTCTGTTCCATGGTTTCTTTTCCGTGAATAGAGTTGCTCCAGCCACTGGAACATTTTGGAGCCATGACTGCAGCAAAGCATCTCAAGACAAACCTGCCTTTCAACCTTAACCTAGTCATAGGAATGACAGCCACCATTTCCTTTAAAAATCTTCTTTCTGTTTTGGCTAGGCCTGTATCTGTAAGGAGCAGAACAGCCATTTTCTCTGGCATTCCTAAAAACACCTACATTTAGTACAAGTTATGTAAAGATGCTGTAGAAAGCCAGGACAAAGATGGGCAGCAAAATTCTTACTTTAAAGATTCTTTCCAGCTGAGAAGGCAAATTATTAAAGGTCTTGTGTGCTCAGAGGACCCAGCACACAGAACAAGACATAACCCCCTGCATTCCACACCAGTACAGTAAGTAGGAAGTTCCGTACTACCCCAAGGTGGCTAGATAAATCTACTTTTAGAGACCAGAGCTCCAGTTCAGCTTTCTTTTCTGTATTTGCTGTGTTGCAAACACACAAAACCTCTGTTACATCAGCATCAATATAAAAGTTTACAGCTTGAGAAATGGTAAGAATTCCTAAGTCATATGCTAAGAGGACCAGCCTTTAGAGGAAACCACTGATATGAATACTGCCTGAATGATAATGGTGGAAAGCACATCAGGGGTTCTGGATTCCATTCTGAGCTGCTCAACAGAGCCTACCCCTCTATCAACACTGTTAGCAGGAACTAAAACAAGGACTTTCAGATCTAAAATCATGGACTTATATTCAGAGTCAAGGATTTAAGCATAAAGATACAGAACTATGCAGAGATACCTGGGATATCTTCAGTACCAGGAGCAGAACAGTCACTTTAGGAGCTTAGGAATATGTTCTGCTTAAGTTAGGCATGGCTTCAAGCAGCTCCACATACCCCTGTTCATAGATAGGTAGCAAAATACAGCCTGAGAGACTAGAAGCCTATTTTGATAAGGAAACTTATATGCTATTCCATGCATGGTCTCACTGTTTTGAGTCTGACTGACAGCATGCACACATATGTGACGTAACTGACTTCTAAATGACCATATGGCAAAGTAGGGCTTATAGTTTAAAACCTCAACATTTATTCCATTTTAAGCATACCCTCTCCTTCTCAAGCAACATCCTATTAGTCCATCAGTAATGTAAGTCCTCTGACAAAGGAATCAAACTACAGGTAATCACAGATATAGAAGTGTGCAGAAATGTTAGCAGGAGTGAGACTGTTTAAATCACAACTACTGGCCTCTGTATTTTGTGCCAATGTTAATTCCTCTTGGGTTCTGGGTGTTTTATGAGGAAGTGTCACCAATTAAACCATAGCTAACATTGTGAATACATGACTCACAGATGATTACACTTGACCAACCCATGCAATACAGGCTAGATGTTGAGATAGCTGGATATTGACAGAGCTGAAGTTCACGAGTATTCAGAAAGGATAAAGCTCCCAGACTCTCACAAAGATGAAATTCTTAACGCTTTTCTACTTTTCTCACTCCAGACCTTACCTCAAATCTATCTGTTGAACTCTACCAGCTATAAACTTTTAATCTGAACCATATTACCAGTCCAAAGCTTCACACAATGAGGTAACTTGGTACACTACCAATAACTGCATATTATCTTAGCATATTATGGACTAGCAACACAGCATAGTGTTCTGAGTTTGAAAGTGGAAAGTTTGAAAAAATGGAAGTTTAAGACACTAGCTCATGTATCAGTACGGAATTCTGCTCCAAATTCCACAGTGAAAAACCACAGAACAGGCAGAATGTCAAGCACTACTTCCACAGGAGGTGGTAAGTTACTATCCATTGCTGACTTCTGCCAGTAACAGAGTACAATGCTGCATGACCTCAGAAAAAGCGTGCCCATGAGGAGTAATAACAAGACCCTCTCTTCACAAACCCCCAACAAGTGGAAAAAGGTTTAGGCCATCATGAAAGGAAATACATC